TACCATTTGCAATGGGGACCAAATTTCTGATCATCACTTGCGGGGACCACCCTTTCTAGAGGTTCTAGAGGTATGAAAAAAATCAGGCACACTCACCATTGGTTGGTTAGCTCATACACGACTTCAAATATCTGAATTGATGAAGTAAGGTTTTCATCATGCTAACTGGGGACCTATGTAAAATCCAGTAAACATGTTTGTGGGGGACCTCATTTAAATATAATTTGCATAATTTACACAGATTTCCAATTGATTACTGGGGACCATGGTAAAACAACAAGCTTAAGTGATATAATCCTCAGATTATTGCATTTTACCTGTCTTCTTTTGATCACAAGGTTCACTACAACAATGGCAGTGCATAATATAACCACTTTGTGATTCCTTCGTACTGTAAACTGCTATGAAGCTGCAATGGAGCTGTCCTCTACCAACCAGGTTATGTCTTTAATAATAGATTTTTCATAAAGTTATCAAGCTGCTATCCACAGGCATCAGACCAAATACTAGAATTAAACCACAATAATGTAAATGATATAATCTACTTTAGCAGCACCAAAATTAATGCAGAAAGTGTGTCATTAGGATATTTTCACTAAAGAAAATGTGTATTTTAAGCTTTAAGAACTACTGTGCTCGTGGTTTGTGGTAATATAAGAGGATTCTTAAGTAGGGTTGGATACTGTTGTGAATCACAATTCCACATTGTAAACCAAACTGCACAAAAGTACTGTACATAACACAATAACATTATTTATTCCAGAACCAATATACTTTTTTAGTTTTTATTTATAGCGAAAACAGGGTAAACATACAATTTGTTATACAAATAAAATGGGAATCAAATGATTTACATATCATTTATACTAGAGACATTGTTCTAACTTAATCTTGATATCAGGGGTCACTTAAGTACCAAGAATTTAGTAGTGAATTACTAAATTGTTGTCTCACCCATCAAACTTTTCAACCTTAATTTCACTGTAAGGGTTTTCTTCGTTTACGTCTCACATGGTTCTTATTTTTAACCACAGTCAACTACCCAGAAACTGTGGAATATTGTACTTCTCAGTCACAGAATACTCAACAACCCTAAAACTAGTATTCATGTTTGTCTGTGTTGTTTGCTGCATTACTTCATAGTAAAAAATAATTTCCTTAGTTCAAGAAGTCAAACTCTCATTTAAATTATACATTTAAACTTTTTATTGAGTCCTGCTCATTTGCGTTCTCTCAAGACAAAACTGAAAGCAACAATACAAACTTATATAGAGTCGGATACTTCATTTGAATCTTCAACATCTGTGCCTTTCATCTAAGGACAAAAAAGAAGTTACTTAGACATATATCCTTGGAACTGAACACAATCCCAGTGTACTATATTATGACAATACAATTAAAATTGTTTAAAATTCCTACAGTGTTAATCAACCACTTAATTGCAAATGTTATATTATACTTTTCTCACACACTTAAATATTTGGAGTAGTGATGTTAACAAATGGTCCTAAAAACAGCAAAAGTCTAAACACAAGAAAATATTTTGAAACTGAAGTCTGACTTGGTGAATGTTTATACTTCTGAACATAGATAATATTCCTTTGTCTGCAAACACACCGTTTGTGCTGTCACAAAAATATACCTTGAAAATGAATCTGAATAATTAGGACAAATCAAATTTACAACATTTGCGATTTGTAAATTTAGGCAAAACATTGACTTTTATTTACGTTTGAAAGACAGCCTTAAAATATAACTACATCTAAAATATTGTAATTGTAAACATAAATATGAAAAACAAGTGTTCAATTTGATGTAATCGCTGCTTAGTATTTATTTACACTACTGCATGTTCTTAATGACAAATTTCTAATGTTAAATTCAAGCAGGCACGAAACTTCAACGACAAAATCATCAAATTCAATATTCCCTCCTCCTCCATCAACCTCTGCCTGTTTTCACACATATTGAATAAACAAGCTTAGTGGGGACATATCACACACCATGTCGTGGTTCCTTATGGGGACCAATGCTAGACCAAGTCTCTAGGTTGTCAGATACTTAACACACAGTTTCTATTCATACACTGATGTAAGATGTGCTATGGGGACGTCGTGAATGTCCCAGAATAGAGTGATATTTAATCAAAAGTAACATCCCTATGAACATTAAAATCTGTCCTGAATATCCTATTACCATTATGTTTCTAGATGCATTTAAAAAACAGCTTATTTACCTGCTTAAAGGGCATAAAAAGCAACAAACGGTGAGTTAGAAATATTCTAGGAGTAAAGTTTAAGTGCTAAACATGAATGTACCTGTTGATTAGTGTCTCATGGACTCAAAGTTTCAGTCATCTGCGTCTCTAACAAGACAGCATGCTGGGAGCTTTCCACAGGAATGACAGCATCAGCTGCATTCATGGTCATCTGCAAACATTTCAAAATATGAAAAACAAGTTTAAGTCCGATGTTATCACTGCATAATATTTAGTTACACTAATGCATGTTCTTAATGACAAATTTCTAAAGTTAAATTCAAGCCAACAGGCACGAAACTTCAACGACAAAATCATCAAATTCAATATTCCCTCCTCCTCCATCAACCTCTGCCTGTTTTCACACATATTGAATAAACAAGCTTAGTGGGGACATATCACACACCATGTCGTGGTTCCTTATGGGGACCAATGCTAGACCAAGTCTCTAGGTTGTCAGATACTTAACACACAGTTTCTATTCATACACTGATGTAAGATGTGCTATGGGGACGTCGTGAATGTCCCAGAATAGAGTGATATTTAATCAAAAGTAACATCCCTATGAACATTAAAATCTGTCCTGAATATCCTATTACCATTATGTTTCTAGATGCATTTAAAAAAACAGCTTATTTACCTGCTTAAAGGGCATAAAAAGCAACAAACGGTGAGTTAGAAATATTCTAGGAGTAAAGTTTAAGTGCTAAACATGAATGTACCTGTTGATTAGTGTCTCATGGACTCAAAGTTTCAGTCATCTGCGTCTCTAACAAGACAGCATGCTGGGAGCTTTCCACAGGAATGACAGCATCAGCTGCATTCATGGTCATCTGCAAACATTTCAAAATATGAAAAACAAGTTTAAGTCCAATGTTATCACTGCATAATATTTAATTACACTAATGTCTGTTCTTAATGTCAAATTTCTAAAGTTAAGTTCAAGCCAACAGGCACGAAACTTCAACGACAAAATCATCAAATTCAATATTCCCTCCTCCTCCATCAACCTCTGCCTGTTTTCACACATATTGAATAAACAAGCTTAGTGGGGACATATCACACACCATGTCGTGGTTCCTTATGGGGACCAATGCTAGACCAAGTCTCTAGGTTGTCAGATACTTAACACACAGTTTCTATTCATACAATAATGTAAGATGTGCTATGGGGACGTCGTGAATGTCCCAGAATAGAGTGATATTTTATCAAAAGTAACATCCCTATGAACATTAAAATCTGTCCTGAATATCCTATTACCATTATGTTTCTAGATGCATTTAAAAAAACAGCTTATTTACCTGCTTAAAGGGCATAAAAAGCAACAAACGGTGAGTTAGAAATATTCTAGAAGTAAAGTTTAAGTGCTAAACATGAATGTACCTGTTGATTAGTGTCTCATGGACTCAAAGTTTCAGTCATCTGCGTCTCTAACAAGACAGCATGGTGGGAGCTTTCCACAGGAATGACAGCATCAGCTGCATTCATGGTCATCTGCAAACATTTCAAAATATGAAAAACAAGTTTAAGTCCGATGTTATCACTGCATAATATTTAATTACACTAATGTATGTTCTTAATGTCAAATTTCTAAAGTTAAGTTCAAGCCAACAGGCACGAAACTTCAACGACAAAATCATCAAATTCAATATTTCCTCCTCCTCCATCAACCATTAAAATCTGTCCTGAATATCCCATTACCATCAGCTTTCTAGATGCATTACATAAAACTGCTAGGGACTTCTGATTCACAATAGATTACCATCATAACATATGTACAGTTGAAACCAGAAGTTTACATACACTGTATAAAAAGACACATATGCTTTTTTTCCTCACTGTCTGACATGAAATTAGACAATCACTTTTCCTGTTTTAGGTCCGTTAGGATTACCAAAATTATTTCTATTTGCTAAATGCCAGAATAATGAGAGAAGGATTTTTTTAGAACATTTTTTTATTACTTTCTTCAAAGTCAGAAGTTTACATACACTAAGATTATTATGCCTTTAAACAATTTGGGAAAGCCCAGATGATGATGTCATGTCTTTGGAAGCTTCTTATATTGTATTGTATGTATTGACAACATTTGAGTTAATTAGAGACACACACCTGTGGATGTATTGTAAGGCACACCTGAAACGCACTGCTTCTTTGTGTAACATCATGGGAAAGTCTAAAGAAATCAGCCAAGATATCAGGAAGAGAATTGTGGACTTGCACAAGTCTGGTTCATCCTTGGGTGCAATTTCCAGATGCCTGAAGGTGCCACGTTCATCTGTTCAAATAATTATACGCAAGTATAAACACCATGGCAGTGTCTAGCCACCATACCACTCAGGAAGGAGACGGGTTCTGTGTCCCAGAGTTGAACGTGCTTTGGTCCGAAATGTGCATATCAACCCAAGAACAAAAGCAAAAGACCTTGTGAAGATGCTGGCTGAAGCTGGTAAGAGTGTGTCTTTATCCACAGTGAAACTAGTACTGTACCGACATGGGCTGAAAGGTCACTCTGTCAGGAAGAAGCCATTACTCCAAAAGACACATAGGAAAGCCAGATTACAGTTTGCAAATGCACACAGGGACAAAGACCTTAGTTTTTGGAGACATGTCCTGTGGTCTGACGAAACTAAAATCAAACTGTTTGGCCATAATGACCATCGTTAAGTTTGGAGGAAAAAGGGGGAAGCTCGCAAGCCTGAGAACACCATCCCAACTGTGAAATAGAGGGATGGCAGCATCATCTGTTGGTTGATATACACATTTCGGACCAAAGCACGTTCAACTCTGGGACACAGAACCCGTCTCCTGAGCGGTATGATGGCTGGACATTCCCATGGTGTTTATACTTGCGTATAATTGTTTGAACAGATGAACATGGCACCTTCAGGCATCTGGAAATTACACCCAAGGATGAACCAGACTTGTGCAAGTCCACAATTCTCTTCCTGATATCTTGGCTGATTTCTTTTGACTTTCCCATGATATTACACAAAGAAGCAGTGTGTTTCAGGTGTGCCTTAAAATACATCCACAGGTGTGTCTCTAATTAACTCAAATGTTGTCAATAAACCTATCAGAAGCTTCCAAAGACATGACATCATCATCTGGGCTTTCCCAAATTGTTTAAAGGCATAGTATTCTTAGTGTATGTAAACTTCTGACTTTGAAGAAAGTAATAAAAAATTGTCTAAAAAAATCCTTCTCTCATTATTCTGGCATTTAGCAGATAGAAATAATTTTGGTAATCCTAACAGACCTAAAACAGGAAAAGTGATTGTCTGATTTCATGTCCGACAGTGAGAAAAAAAAGCGTATGCGTCTTTTTATAGTGTATGTAAACTTCTGGTTTCAACTGTATACAACACAATCAGTGCCTTCATTTTAACTATGAGCTAAGTGTAAGGAGATTATTATGGTTTAGCATAAGGAGTATAGTTTAGGTGTAATGTAAAATCTTACCACCATGTTCTCCCTCTCCACTTGAATGAAGCATGAATGCAACACATGATGAGTGATAAATGCACCTTCTCCTTTGAGATTCTGCATCATCTATCATGTCTCCTCTGTATTCCAGTACAAAATCTCCTTTGAAGAATGAAGATAGGGCAAATACACCACGTTCTGTAAGACAAAGTAATACATTTTCAAAAAAAACAGGACATTACGAATGTTAATTAGTCTGTGGCAATATGTCCTAAAAACACAATTGCCAATTATTAGTGCATTTGATGGCAGCTTTATTGACCTAAGCTTATCTAATGCATCCTGAAGTTTTGCAATTAAATGTCTCAAAATCATTTTCAATATGTATATGAAGTGAACATGCTGAAGGGCATCCTTAAGAGGACTGACCTTGGTGGCATTTAAAACTGCAGAGAAATGTTTAATGAGACAGCTTTGGCTTTAGTTCTATTACAATACAATTAGAGGCTCTAAGTGAACATCCACACAGGTGTTTTCAGTTATTATGGCTGATTAGACCTCTGCTCAGGTTTAGGGTGGGCTTAAGCTTTGATGAAACTCCATGAGGTCACAAATCTAAATCTCCAATACGAATGGTGAAGGTATATTTTGTCCTGCCCTAACAGGTGTAACAAAGCTGACAGAAGACTCAGGAAGATGTCAATCAATCACAGTATACACACCCATACAGTCCCAAGAAGACTAATAATCAGCAAGATAAACTGAAAAAACTGTGTGGGTGTTCAGAGGCTTAGCTCTATAACTTTTTTCCCCATACTCGCCCTTTCCTGTCGGCTCAGTGTCAGATGCCTTCCCTTCTTGCCATGCCCTATTCTAAATTATTCATTTTTAATAATAAAATAATATTAATAATTATAAGTAAGCTAAGTTTACTTTTTTCAGGTAGTAAAATCAATCAGGACCCATTTATGTAGAGGAGGCATGTGGAATCACTTCACTAGTCACTTTAAAGATACAAACATCAAATTGCAGCCTTGTCAAGCTCAGGTCCCAAAAATACCTGTCCAGATGCACTTTCTCTTAACATGGACAGCTTGCTTTAAATCATCAAAACATCTCTTTACAATTTTTCTATAATATATCTAACCTATATATACCTAGGATTAAGTTACACCTCTATATATTACTAAATTCATTACCTGGAAATGTATTTTAAATTTCTCTGTTACACACTGAAAAATATTTCACTTTTTTTAGTTGGTATAAACTCCTAGAAATGCACAGAATCCATCCATCATGTAACAACTAACAGTAGCTTTCAGGGAAAGCTAAAAACATTGTTAGTAAAACATTGTAAATTTGCTAGTTACACTAGCCTTCTGTTGCTAATTAAAGCTAACTAGCTATCCTACTAACTAATTAACACTAATTAACCTCATTAGTGGTTTAAAATGGTCATCTATACAAATAATGATTATAGCAAGTAAGTAAATAAGATAATATTGCTTACCTTGTGGTGTTGTAGTTCCTCTTTTTATGTGACAAACATCTTTAATTGAAGAGCCTTTGCGATGCTCCCTTTAAACACTGAAAATTGTGTTTGCTCCTAAAATCCTTCTTAATGGGGACCAGGAAGTGGGCGGTAACATACCATATTTGGAAGATCTGTGTGTGTGGAACGGTTGATTGCCTTACCAGCTCATACAGTAAGGGGGCGCAAGCATGCCCCGTTCACACACACACACTAACTGGAAAACATGCCCAATGGGCCAAAGCTAAAAACCACACAGGCACCTTCAGATAGACTCCTGCATTCATTTAAAAGAGTTTCCCTTTAGGGGACCTCATTTTTCGTCCCCATACTGTTAGAGGTCCCCATGACGTGACTGTGTAAACAGTTTGTTGTCCCCAGGACGTGATGAATGCCAACACACACACACACACACACACACACACACACACACACACACACACACACTCAAGAACAGCTGCCTTTACAATAAAGTCAAGAAAAGATTATTCTGAGAAGCAAAGTATTATTTTCAGGGAGGTAAAGCAGCACACTGTGATACGGTTTGATTTTATGGGAAAACAACTTAATCGTTACTTTAGATTAACAGCCTCGGCAAAGCCTTTAAAGCCTCTCAGCATGAACATTGTTTATTTTCACTGTGTTGTCTGCATAGGAATACATTACTAAAATTACACATTTGGATTATTTCTGTCTGAACCACAAATTCAAAAACTGCATTCTTGTGGCATTGCATACTTACGTGTTTTATTTGTTAGAACCTAATGCTGTCGTTAAACGATATTGTCTTGTTACATAAGATGTAACATCAAACTGATGTACAGCCGTCTGTTGAAAGTAGTTGAAAATACAAGAAACTGGCTGAGAATGAATTATTTTCTACAGACTTACAGAAAAACATGTAGTTCAACCTTGGTCAAACGTAGGATGATCCAAGGGGACCAAAATATTATTTATTATTCTATTTCTGAGCAGATGCACATGCATTCATACATGTACACTGATCAAACACTACATTCACACACTCACTTCACTGACATCAAGTCATGCAGTGGTGGAGAAAGAATTCTGATCCTTGTGCCAGTAGCCAATAGTCAATCTCCATAAGCCCCCATGTTAAAATGAGGAATTTAATATAACTCACCGTAACTCTGTTTAAATTAATCAAGGCTTAAAGTTCTGCTTAATTAAGGACGGGCCCGCTTTGAGTGACAGGTGGGTGTCATCACAGGTGGCTGGTTTCAGCTCCCAGGCCTTATTCAGCCTCAGTTCTGCACATATACTCCACCTCTTCCCCCGGTCTTTAATTATCCGGGCCGGCAGAGTCAGACACTGCCAAGATGGCAGTGGCCAGAGGCATCACACTGAGTTTCACACCGGCTCCTCAGAAACCTATGGTTGACATCACAGAGAAGTCCCTATACAGTCTATGAACTAGGAGTGGGTAAAAATATCGATTCATCAATGCATTGCAATATATTTTTTCCCAATTCAATATCGATTCATTAAATCCTCTGAATCGATTCAAGCCCCTGGCCAGTGGGGGTGCGGTGAGCAACACCTTTGTGTGATTTGCGTTGTACGGACAGAGGCCGCACTCGACCACACAACAACAATAACATGGCAACTGAAGCAGGTAGCAGCAGTGTTAAACCAGCGCCTTCAACTTTAAAAGCAGATGTTTGGAGTCATTTTATATTCCAGTTTAAACCCAGAACACAGGAAATAGACCAAAGTAAGGTAGTGTGTAAGCTGTGCCAGGCAGTACTAAAATACTGCAATGACACAACAAATTTGCGCAACCACTTAAGCCGACACCATGCAGATGCTCTGCAGCAACCCGCGGCTAAACCTGTAGATTCAAAACAGACGCAACTCGACAGATCCTTCCTTTGCAAACTGCTGCCAAACTCTGCCCACGCACAGAAGATGACTGAGTCTGTGGCCGTCTTCATATGTAAGGACCTACGACCGTACAGTGTTGTGGAAAACGGGGGTTTTAAGAAGATGGTATACACACTCGAACCACGATACGCCATACCAACACGCAAACACATGGTAAAGACAGCGGTTTTGGAGTTGTTGAAGTCGGCACTGAATCGATATCAAAGCATTTAAATCAATATCGAATCGAATCGATATCGAATCAAATTGTGACCTAAAGAATCAAAATCGAATCGAATCGTGAGGTTCTTAACAATACCCAGCCCTACTATGAACCCTCTGTAAAGCGGCAAGTCGTGAGCTCTAGAGGTGCTGGTAGACAAATTTTGTGTCTCTTGAGTGGTATCCCCCTTTAATGATTAATAAAGCAGGCCAGTTTAAATCCTCTTGACTTATCATTATTCACATGGTCAGGTGTTCTTTGGATCAAAACGTACATGGCAAAGTCATAAAGTAGAAAAAACACACATAGACTTTGACGTGACCCAAACATTTTCCCCTCTAACTTTCAGGTTGGAAGAATGAACTTCTGTTGCCTCAAAGGTTTCTTTGTCCCATAAAATTTGTCTTTATTGTTTTAAGTTCTACATTTACACGTCTGCACCCGTCCATCTGAGAGTGAAGAGTTGTCCTTAGAAGGGCAGAAAGGATATGATGCTTAGTTTTTTGGGCAAAGTTGTGGGAACGGTGTCACTTAGGAATGTTGGGGCTTCATAGCAAAGCACCTCGACTGTACACACACACAGACACACACACTGATCCTACTCTTACATCGCCTAAAATATCATCAGTCACATCTTTGTGAACTGAGCTCGGAGGACATAATTTTGCCAGCTGCAGGAAGAGAAACCTGGCAAAACAGTGAATATTGAATAGAAAAATGGAAAATAAACCACAATAATTTTAAACATTATTATCAGGTCAGTTGACTTTCTCTGACCCAAAGGAGTAAATAGACAAGCTTTGATCCAGACTGTGAAGGTATGTCTCACTGGAAGAGCATCACACAGAGCGCTCCCATGTCTGTCTACAGTTTATACACAGAAGACCTCTGCTGTTGTCACAGATGGTCATCAGACCTAGAAAAGGTGGCTGTGTGTGTATTTGAGGGCACTCGTGGTTCATATTTTTGTGTATCTGGCATTAATTCACTTTTCTATGCCAGTGTCCTCAGGTGTGTGTGTTCTTGTGTGTGTATGTGTGCAAAGCGCCCTTTTGCTAATCACTCATACGTGCATTTCTTTGCGATGAATAAAACACTGCTGGGCTTTAGGTTTCCACCACACAGTACAAGCCAGAGATGTTAATCAGGGAACAAGACAGGGATCTGCCTTGTGTCTGATCTGGACCACTCTGCTGTGTTTACACGAGTTTTTTATTTCAGTCCAGAGGAGGAGGAACCGAAAAGTCTTTATCACATTAATAATATCCTTGTCAGATTCCTACAGGACACGGGCTGATGGAGAAAACAGATCTGGAGAGGAGAGAGAGAAAGGAGGGGCAGATTGAGCAACATTTACAAAGTTAAACTCACCTTAAGAAACAACAAAAAAAAGAGGCTTGCTGTATTTTTTGGTGTAAAAGCTCTGGTATGCTAGAAACAAACAAGTTTGTGCAAAGGTTTGACAAACAGACTTCGCTCTGTTGCACTCAGTCGTACAAGCAATTACAAGTGTACGAGTGATTTAAGTAGTTGTGTGTGCAACTGGGCCATCTCCACAGTCAGTGGCGGACTCAGGCTGTTTGATAGGCACCAGTGGGCATGAAGTTGTGATGCACTTATGGTGAAACAGCTTAGTCAGGGTTAGGATCAGCACCCTTGACAGGGAACTTTATCATGATTTCTCCACTGGAAGGGCACCCTAGAGGGCCCTTCATCACGTGTTATCTACGATCGGGGCATCCAAGAGGGCACTTTTGCTGCGTTCTTTCAAACACGGGGACACCAGGGGGCAGATTAACGGTTGTTGATAAAATTCCACTGTTCAAAATCCTTTGAATCATAATCCATCCTATTATTTCTGACTGTTTATTGCATATATTTCTGTTCCCAAATATCACAATGTCTGTCGTGACACAAGTTGTGTGAAAGTACCTTGTCACTCCCCATAATGAAAAATCAAGTTCAGCACAGCAGGGAGCGATGATTAAAAGTTCCCTCCTATGGGAGAGTCTGCAGGTGGATGCAGGGGTGAGAAGAGTTTGACATGTGAATTTAACAGCGGACTGGAGTTGACTGCCTAAACTAGCTCGCAGGCTACACTTCATTTTTGAAAGCTAAATGTTCAGTAGCTTAAAGTTACAGTTTCATCCCTGTTGCGAGTAAAGGAGGAATTAAGTTTAGAAGGAACATGTGAAACAGTTGAGGGATTAATAACCTGGTTTGGTGTATTTGTGTATCTTGCTCGATCCACAGGTGTTCCCACTGGGATTAAATAAACAACATCCATCCTAAACGAACTCTCCAACTCTCCCCCCTGAAACCTCTGCTTTGCTCAACACCTCCTCTGCTTAACTCTTCCTCCCTTCATACCTGTGTCAGTGCCTTCCAGCTCTCTCCTTCTTCTGCCGTCCTACCCTCAAAGACCTACGTCAAGTCTTTGCAATGCATCTCCCAGTCTGATCCTCCCGTTTTCTCACAGCAGCCAAAGAAAACAGGGAAACACTGCTCCTGACCTCAGGATGCCTCGAGGAGGAGCTGCGTGAGTGTGTGGGCGTGTGACCTGACAGCAGGCCCCTTCAGCTCACACAGTAATGTCCTGCCCACAGCAAGGTGAGGGAACGCACACACACACATAAGCACGCCAACACCAGTCAACTTCAGCGCACGTCCCGAGGCAGCTCCAGATGTGAAAGACAGAAGTGCATGTCGGTCAGAACATTACAGCTGCTAATACTAGAGCTACTGTTACTGAGGGGTGGGGAGGTGCAGCATGTGGATACTGAAATGCCTCACCTCTGTCTGAGGACCCTGACACACCTGACACAGTTGCCGGTGGGCGTCTGTGGCCAACAATCACCTGTAGTTGTTGTTGTTGAGGGTATATATTTTTCTGTCAGCTGCATTATTTGCAATGTGAGTACAACATTTAGCTTTTAAGACATGTAATACGTAACATTATAAGCTTCATCTGTCTGTTAAAGTGAGAGAGAGGTGAGAGAGAGAACAGCAGTGAGTTAAAGATGTTATGATAGCGAGGAAGCAGATTTTTCACAGGCTCACTGATTGATTTTAAAACTTATTTTTGCCTTTTGCTGGGGATTCTTTTATTATTATTTAACATAAAATATAGAAAGAGATTGTTGGTCACGTCGCACAGGGAAATGTGTTTTTCATAGACTGTTCAGCGAGTGCTTCATGGTTTATTTGACCTCTTTGTGCAGGAGAAATGAAGATTGACATGACAAATTAATTGCAGTGATCTTAGAAGACTAAATGGATGCACATTACTCTCTTTCTCTGTGTTATGTTTAACTTTGTGCTGCTGCAGACTTT